CCTTCTTCATTGTGGTAAGTACAACGCCTATCGACGTTTTTTTCCATAAATTCCCCTGGTGTTCTTGTCGGTGCTCTGAAATAGGGTTGGTTTCGTATTTGATCCAGGACTTTGTGGACCGGGATTGGTAGGTACCTTGTTTCTGCATCGGCCAAGGTTTTGCTTACATAGTAAACAGCCTTTTGCTCCCCATTTTCCTCTCGGATTAGTACTGCACTTACTGCGTGTTCTGAAACGGCTAAGTACAAAAACAGCTCTTCTCCACGTTCAGGTGTTGAGAGGACTGGAGCCGTGGTCAGATACTTCTTTAGGTCGGCCAAAGCGGCCTCACATTCTTCAGTCCATAGGAAGTCTGTGGTCTTCTTCACCAGGTTGAAGAGGGGTTTACATTTGTTTGAGCTTCGGCTTATGAACCTGTTTAGGGCTGCGGCCCTTCCAGTAAGAACTTGTACCTGTTTTGCCGATGTTGGGCTCTGTAGGTCTAGGATGGCCTTGATCTGATCTGGGCTAGCCTCTATGCCCTTCCTTGTTACCAGGTACCCCAGAAATTTACCAGATCTAACTCCAAACGTGCATTTTGATGCGTTGAGTCAGAGCCGATATGTTTTGAGGATCTTGAATACCTCTTTTAGGTCGGCAAGATGACTCTTAGGCTCCTTGGTCTTCACGACCATGTCATCGATGTAGACTTCTACTGTTTGGCCAATCAGGTGTTTGAACATTTTGGTTACTAGCCTTTGGTAAGTTGCTCCTGCGTTTTTCAACCCAAAAGGCATTACCTTGTAACAATACAGTCCTTTCGGGATGATAAACGTTGTCTTCTCTTCGTCTGGAGGGTACATGGCTATCTGGTGGTATCCTCTGTAAGCGTCCAGGAAGCTCATCCTTCCATGTCCAGATGTGGCGTCTACCAACTGGTCAATCTTGGGTAGAGGAAAGCAGTCTTTGGGGTAAACTTTGTTCAGGCTTGTAAAATCTACGCAGACCGGCCATTTACCGTTCTTCTTCTTTACCACTACTGTGTTGGATAGCCATGTCGGGTAATGAACTTCTCGGATGGCCCTGGCCTCCAGAAGTCTGTCCACTTCTTCTTCTACTGCTTTGATGTGCATCAACGTCGGTCTTCTGGCTCGTTGAATCACAGGTTTTGCCGACCTGTCGACATTCAGTCTATGGCAAGTGACCTCGGGGTCAATGCTAGGCATTTCGTAAGGTGTCCAGGCGAACACCTCAATGTAGGCTCTTAAAAAAGTCTCCAACTCTTTTTCCTCTTCTTCGGCTAAGCCTGAGCCGAGAAGAAAGAAGCGTTCTTCGTCTCCATCCTGGACGAGGATTTTCTTTAGCGCCTCTTCGCTCTTCTCGGCTAGTTCTTTGCCAACGTCTTCTAGTACTTCCATGTCCTCATCTTCAATTTCTGCCTCTTTTGGCTCTCGAACGCTGCAAGTAGACTTCATTGCTGCCATGGAGCAACTTTTTGCCTGCAGTTGGTCTCCTCTGACTTCTTCAATCCCATGCTCTGTTGGGAACCGTAGTAGTTAATGCAATGTTGAGGGAACCGCCTCCATTGCATGCAACCATGGTCTTCCCAAGATGATGTTATATGGTGAAGGTGTGTCAATCACCATGAATTCTGTCCTGATCTTCTTAGTGCCAGCTTGTACTTCCAAGCTTGTTGCGCCCAGTGGCCACGTCGACGTTCCATTGAGGCCGACCATCGGGCCATTCGATTACTCCATGTCGTCTGGGTGAAGGCCTAGCTCCTTGTAACATCTAACGTACATGATGTCACAAGAGCTGCCTTGATCTATTAGGATGCGTTTCACTTGGCACTCCTCAACCTGGAGGGATACTACCAAGGCATGATTATGCGGATGCTGGACCATCTCTAGGTCAGCTTCAGTGAAGGCTATCATCGGTCCTCGGCACTCTTCAGGCCGAGGTCTTTTATGTCCGACCTGGTTCACGTGCTGCAGGTGTTTTACTCTTTGGATTTCTCCCCGAATGTCACTTTCGTTCACTTTTGAGTGAATTACATTAACCACCCTAGGTCCCCCTCCCTGTGGTTGCTGTGCTGGGGGGGCGGGGCCGCTGGTGCTTGAGGCAATCTTGCCTGCTCTTCTCTTGTCCTGGCTTCGTCGACGAGGTCCCTCAGATGGCCTTGCCTTACTAAGTCCTCTAAGTATGCTTTTAGGGCTCTGCAGCCCTGAGTTGGGTGCCCTTCTTCATTGTGGTAAGCACAACGCCTACCAACGTTCCTTTCCATGTATTCCCCTGGGGCCTTTGTTGGTGCTTTGAAATAAGGTTGATTTCAGATTTGATCCAGGACTTTGTGTACTGGGATTCGAAACACAGTCGTCACTGTCTGTTTACTCCTCAATTCTATCTCCGATTTGTTAAATCCATTGTTACCTCATCTTCACTTCGGCTCGTCGTTCCCTTTTCTCTGCTTTACCTCCTTATTCCCCGATGTGTCCTCCTCGGCTCTGGCATATTTCTCAATTCTCGCCATGAGCTCTTCCATGCTTTTTGGCAAAGTTTTTGCCAAAGACTTCCGTAGTGGACAATTATCTTTCAGGCTGTTCTTGAATGACATGACCGCTACTTCTTGATTACATTCTGGTATTCGATTGAACACCTTATAGTACCTTTTCGCATAGGCCCTAAGGCCTTCGTCTTTGCTGATCTTCAGAGCCATCAATGCATCCACCTTCAATGGCTGCAGTTTGTTCGTCACAAACCTAGCCACAAACATCTCGGCCAGGCCTTCCCAAGTCTTTACGCTTCCCTTCGGTAGTTTAGACAGAACCCAAGACATGAAAGAAAGCATAGCATACCCACAAAAACACAAAAGCATGAGCGAGAGAGTACCCAAATGGAACTTAATTTAACATTACTAAGAATGGGAATAAAGTAAAGACTTACTGGAAGAGAGTAGTTGGAATAGAGAAAACTTGCAGCTCTCAACCTTGGTCCTTGATGGACTTTGGGGACCTACAACTCGAAAAATAAAATTAAAAGCATCAGAGAGAGAGGAAGTGGAAGTTTTAAAATTTTAATCTTAGGCAAATGAAAGTTTCAAATAATCTTAATAAATCCGTGCCTATGTCATTCCAAAGAATAGAAAATATAAGTAAGTAAGCTCCATTATCCCTTGTCCAAAAATTGCCTAATGTTTATTATTAAAAATAACATCGAACTCCCATTGTTTGTATCACCAATTTGAATATACCTCTATTTTTGCTAAACCTTACCACCATACACTACATTTACTTGGCCTGTTATAATAGATTCACTCACTATTTGAACAACAAAAAAGTAGAATTATATAAGTAGCTAGTTTAACTAAAAGAAAATAAACCATTTTAATTGAGTTATTTTACCTTGCTGGCATTGGCGTGTCCTGCAGCGGGTATGGTGGCTGCATGACATTGTTTTGCATCATGAAGTTGACCACTGACTGTAGGTCTACTAACTTGTTTGCCAAGTCTTTTACTTCCTCATCCCTTCGTAGGCACCTATCCCTTCATACCTGAAGGTTATCTTCGTTATAATACTTGCTTTGGTCTGTCCTCTTCGAAGCGTCACCCTTCTGGCCGACGTCTTTCTCACCGTGGCCCTGGTCCTGAGTTTCTATATTGTGGTTGTCTCCTTCAACGTCAAGGTCAATTGGTCTGCCACTCCTAGCAGGAGTGTCGCCCCCAATATTTTCCCTCTGTCCGTTACTGGCCATCTATTCTTCTAAGTTCCCACAGACGGCGCCAAATTATGTGAGTGATTTTCTGACCACACTGCCCGCCTAGTAATCAGCTGGAGAGCACCGGCAGAATAGATGGCTTCAGCAAACCTGTAACAGAAAGAAAAGGCTCCGGCGGTGGCTCTTCCACCCGGGGCTCCGACGATCAAGTCAGTATATCTCTCAAAGATAATCAAGTGCTAAACTCACTACTCAAAACATAAAACAGCGTACCTTAGACCCACGGGGGTGCCCCTTTTTTATAGTTTACTCAATCTTAGTCCCACTAGAAGCTTGACTTCTATGGACTCCAATTCTGTACTTACTTTGGATTTCTTAAGAGATAAAGATAAACTCCCTAAGAGCTTTATCCTTATCTTATCAAAGTCTTCTCTTTTCTCTAGGACTCTTGCCCCTTATCCATTATCCGCTAATCTCGGATTCCAATATCTTCGGAGATAACCTCGGTCTCGCCGAGATAACCTCGGCATCACAACCAGGACACGTGGCACTTCGGCTGACACGTCGGCGTCACCTTGCCACGTGTTGGTATTCAGAAAATATATCCCCACAGATACATTATGAAATTAAATTACCTTATCCATACCAGTGCTGACTTTTAAGTACCCCAAATCATAATATTTCTCAAGCTTACTTGAATGAACAGAAGAAACTAGAGGGGGATGAAGGATGTTATGGAAGAAATTGGATACTGAATCGTAATAAAACTTTGGTCGAGAAGAGGGGTGATCACCATCAAATTTTATTATATTTTTATGCCCCTGCACAAATCACAAACAAATGGTATAAGGGGAGAAATGTGCACACATACACCGCAAAAATAAACAGTTGTATCCAGCCTAATTTGTATAATCATGAGCATATTAAGTAATTAATTTCACAATTAAATAAAATTCTCCTGTAAAGTGATTGATTGATTGGATTCATAAATTAGTTGAACCAAAAAGAATGATGGTAGGATAGAAGGCCAAAGTCATCATTCTTGATAATTTATGCACACAAACCTGTATACAATTAAGGTCCATGATATCAAATTTTGCCTTCTTTGGAATTGCCTGCCACATGTACTGTACTGCAACCTTAACCTAGTGGAAGAGGAAACAAAGAAACCTCACTATATGATCAACGATTATGCTTTTACATGGGCATGTGAAAGTCAATCCTAACAAGGAAATGTTAATGCTAATTAAATGGAACGGTCCAACATAATAAAGGAATGATAGTACAACTCTTCATGTCCCATAATCTTGGACGACAGAAAGTCAAATATACCATTTAACATGGATAGCTATCATATAAAAGTATTTTTATTTTGGTTTTCCGTTCCAATTAATAACAACAAACATATTTTTTGAGGTTGAGATTAATATGGTACTAGGAATGGGACGCAAAGCTCTTAGTGCTGTAGTGTCTAAGAAATACAGCACAACTCAACAAAGACTTGTCCCCACTACTTAGGGTCGGCTATATGAATCAAGTCCGCATTCAGCTTGAACAAGGGACCATAATTTTAGTTAAACCAAAAACTAACATATCTTTTGTTAGTATCCTAATCCAAGTTAATTTTGATCTTCTTCATCCCTTAGTATTATCCTCAGCAGGGTCCTAATTGGGCAACAAACAGGCTTCTTTGAACAAGGACAAAACCATCTTAATTGAGGTTTTCACATTTTATTCAATAGTAGAGGACAAATTATGTTATTCCTAATTTTATCTTTCTTAGTTTTTTGTACCTTTATGCATTATTGGTCTAATAGTCGGTTTGTAAAATTTTACTTTCGACCTCATGGGCGTGCATCAATCACACAATACTCCAAAAGCACTCCTACACTTGGTAACATCATCACCAACCTCTTCAGTCTTAAGGAGAATATCCTTAGCTGATGGATTACTGGTTTGTCCTCTGGAAAGGGACGAAAATTCGGTTGGATCATAGCGAGGGTTGTGACCCCAGCCACGACCTCAACCACGATGGCCTCGACTGGTCATTCCTCTTCAGGAGTAGATTTCTGCAAATATTCATGGGTCAAGAAATCAGGCAAAGAGTTAGATTCTCCTTTGATATATTCAATATCAAAATCAAAATTAGATAAAAAAACTTTGCCATGACAAAAATATCTGTTTGGATGCAAGATTTTTAACATCCTTTTTAAAAACCTATTTAGCAGCAGAGCAATCAACTCTGATGAGAAAATGCTGATTTAAAAGATCATCCTGAAATTTAATTACACATTTGACAATGGCTAAACATTCCTATTTTATTGTTGGGTAATTTAAAGCGGCTTTATTCCAATGACCAGAATGGAATCTTAATAATTCCTTTTTCTTGGTATTGGGATTAAGCTGTTTTAATATCCCACCAAAACCTGTATTAGAAGCATCGGTTTCAACAATCTTTTTCCAGTTAGGATTGGGTAACTGTAAACAAGGTATCTGTTGAACTTTAGCCTTAATTCGTCTGACAGCTAAAGTATGTTCTTCATTCCATGGTGGCGGATTCTTTCTTAGCTTAGTATACAGAATACTAGCATCTGCTGATAACTGATGATAATAATCTCTAATATAATTAAGACTTCCTAAAAATCTCTGTAATTGAGTTTTATCCTTAATTTCATCAGGGAATTTAGAGGCAAACTCAATACTTCTGTTAATAGGAATAATACTGCCATTGGAGATATTATGACCTAAGTATCTAACTGTTGTTTGGAATAATTGCATTTTTGGTGCGGAAATAACTAATCCATTTCTGATAATAACATTCTTAAAAATATTAAGATGTTTTATATGCTGGTCAATTGATGAAGAAAATATTAAAACATCATCAATATATGATAAAGCAAATTCTGTATAAGGAGTAAAAATATCATTCATGATATGTTGAAATTCTGATAGAGCATTTTTTAAACCAAATGGCATTACATTCCACTCATAATGCCCAAAGGGTACTGTAAAAGCGATTTTGTAACGATCCTGTTCTGCAATCTGAACTTGCCAATATCCTGATTTAAGATCAAATTTAGAAAATATGATAGCATCCTGTAATCGATCTAAAAGATCTTTTTTGTTCGGAATTGGATACCTAATCCATGTAAGTACTTCATTTAACGGTTTATAGTTAATGACAAGGCGTGGAACACCTCTCTCAATTTCGGCATTTTTATTAACATAAAAAGCGGTACAACTCCAAGGAGATTGACTAGGTCGGATGAGCTTCTTAGCAAGAAGACTTTGGATTTCTGTTTTACACATTTCCATATATTCCTTTTTCATTTGACTAGGGCGAGCTCTAGTTGGAATATGTTTTTCATTAAAATTTGGTTCATATGGTAATGTGACTGTATGTTTTTTACGTTCCCAAAAAGCATTTGGAACATCATTACAAACTTCTGTTTGAAATTCTTTTTCAATTAACTTAATTTTCTGTTGTAAAGAAGGTTGTTGTAACCTTTGTTCGGTTGTTAAAAATTGAACTTCTTTTTGTAAAAAATTTATCTGGTTTTCTTTAAAAGTTACTAGATCACGAATTTGATCTAATTCTTTAGTATAAGGTTCCGTTATGAATTCAAAAATAACTGTTCGTCCCTGTATTTGAGTGTAAATACCTGTTTGGTCAATTTTCTGTATAGGCATGAGAAGGCACAGAAAGGGAGTACCTAAGATGATATTTTGTGCAAGATTTTTGACTAATACAAAAGATGTAGGTAGACAAGAATCTTGATTACAAATATAAGCTTCTGGAATTTTATACCTGATTTGGAGTGAGTTTCCACTAGCACTGGTTAGACTTTGAGTAGTTTTTTGGAAATACCTGGTAGGAACTATTCCTTCTTGGATACAGTTCATATCTGCACCACTATCTACTAAGGCGATAGCATCTTTAATCCAAAAGTCTGGTTTTTATCATAAATGAAATTTTGATATACCATTTCTGGAAAGTGACTTGATTAACAAGTAGTAAATACTGGTTTGAAGATTCTGGCTTCGTATTTGGTTCAGTTGGTTTAGTTTCTTCGGGTTCCTTTGGCTTGAGCTGACTATGAAGATATTTAATATCTTTGGTAGTAGCCGCGCTGGTTGTTTGTAAATGCTTAACTTCTATTTTTAAAATATTTATTTCCATTTTTAAATCCTGGATTGTTGTGGGTTGTTCTACAGATGTAGAAGTTAAATTCTGAATTCTTTTAAATACATCTTGTAGATTGTAAGAATGTACTGGTATTAAAGGTTGTTCTTGAGTTGCCTGTTGTTGTTCATAACACATTTTTAAATATTTAATTTTTATTTCTGGATTCTGGATGTGATCTGCTACAGCTAGCATATCTTTTTGGGTGTCTGTTAAAACATTAATACTGTCGGGTTCACCTAAATGTAAACCATTCATTTCAACTATTGATTTCCATTAATTAATTTTAGATAGTTGGTCCTGGTTGGTTGAACAAGGGCAAAGGGGTTCATCTTGTTCTTCTTCACTACTGGAGGGTGAAAATAATTCATTAACTTCATCTTCGGAAGGAGACTCATCTTCGGTTGATTCTTCCTCTATTGTTTAGAGAAGTTGTCTTTTAATATCTGGATCAAGATTTAACTCATTAATCTTGGACTTGACTTTAGATTTGCATCGGTTCGCATAATGACCAATTTGGCCACACTTATAGCATTTAATTTCTGATTTGGATTTTCCTTGACTCTTTCCTGTATTTGAAGCTTTTTTGGAATAAAACTTCTTACTAGGTTTCTGTTGGTATGTCTTATGTGATTTTCTCCGGATGGGTTTAGACTGTTTTTTATGGAAAACCTTTCTAGGTTTAGCTGGATATTTAATACCTGGTTCATAAACAAAATGGTCACAGAATTCTCCTAGTTCTTTTCTCCCTGTTAAATTCTGTTGCTTCATTTGATAATGACGTTTAAGGTCATTACATAAGGATAGACCTTCGTCGGTAACAATGGAACATAGTTGTCCATACGTGTACTGTTCATAAGGAATAGACATCCGGTCATGGCGGTCCCGAAGTTTTTTCCTAACGCGTTCGGCAAAAAGGGTAGGAAGGCCATCAATAAATTTAGCCTTCCAATGGCTACTGTTAGCATCAGGTCACTGGGTGACCTTGATGAGGAAAACATCTTTATACCATTTAAAATGGGTTAAAGAAGGGCACCGTAAATTCTGTAAGAGTTCACGACTACGATCGGAAAAACTAGTACTGGTACCAACAAAATGGAGGATGATGGTCTGGATAAGAGTGTAAACGGCATCCTCTTGTTGAACAGGCTGTTGGGTGGTCGGATCAAGCTTAATTTTAACAGAAGTGAGAATTTCAGTGTGCTGGAGAGGAGTGAGAATATTATCCCACCATCCTTTTAGCTGGCCGGTAAATCCATTAATAATAAATTTAACAATGGCGTGGTCGCTATTACTGTATTGGCGGCAAACGGTTGCATACATCATCATTTGATGTAATTTTTTATAAATACCATATTCGGATTCGCCATCTATATTCCGTTCATAGATAGTTTTACGATGATAGGATCCCTGATCATTGATGTACGTCTGTTCATAGAGTACATCAGGTGGTGTTGGTCTAGCATAATAATTTCTAGTTGGTGGTAACATATTTGGTCGAGAAGAAGTGTAATTATGAAGTTTGTTAACGGATGTGGGTTCCTGGAAATTAGATTGTATTTCGTGAATCTGTTCAGGGGACAGATCGTCGTCTAATTCTGTAAGATTTGCTCTAAGCATTTGGATTGAACCAGAGGGTTCCTGGGGTTCTGTTCGAACATTTAATGTTTTCATTTTCTGTAATAGAGTGTCCATAAATTCTGTATTAGAGGCTTTTAATTTAAAATTGGTTACCTCTAATGGTGGCTTAATGGATACGGGATGGATTGTAGAAGGTCCGACTGTTGGTGGAGCTAAATTCCTATCTCTGAAAGTATTGATAGCTTCTTTAATTCTAGTCAACTGTTTACCCATTGTTTGACAAAACAAATTAGTATAATTATGTTGTCTGCAAACAAGGCCAAGGTCTGATAGTTTAATATAGTCGGATTTGGTGAATCTAGCAGATTGAGCATCTATATA